CCACCGGCGAGAAAGGGCTGGTGGCAGAGTGGAGGCCTCGCGGGGCCCACGCGGAGACAAATAAAGGCAAGGTTGCACACCGCCAGACTTTGTCGTGTGTCTTTCCTGCCGGCCGGGAGCGACCCCGACATTTGGTGACCTGCACGGGGACTGATCAACCCCGAGACACGGCGGTGGTGTGCAACGCTCCAGCGTGGTGCTGCCGGACAGGTGAGTTGGGGATAAGCCTGGGCTCTGGGTGGCGCGCACCTACAGGGCTTTTAGACTCCCCTCAGGCTCACGCGTAGGTGACGGGTTCTTTAAGTCACACGCGGTGAGTTACAGCCCTTAGAGGTTGAGGATGGGTAATTTACCGAGCGCGGAGGCGCGGCCCTTGGTAAAGGCCCTTAGAAAGCTTTTAAAAGCTAGAGACCTCAGGGTAGGTCAAAAAACACTGGAACTATTCATAACAGAGGTAGATAGGGTGGCTCCCTGGTTTTTACCCACAGGGCATTTAAACCTGCCGTCATGGGAGAAGTTAGGCGGGGACCTCGCCTCGGCGGAATTGGGAGGCGATATTTCGCCAGCTATTCGCCCCCTGTGGGAAATGATACATGCGTGCCTTGACTCCTATGCCGAGTTGCGCCGCGAATTGTGTGCGTGCGCCGCTCGAAAAAAGCAGAGAGAGGAAAAAGGACCCCCGAGAGCCCTCTGGCGGGGAGGAGATAGAGAGCCATCCACTCCGCCCTGGAGCTCTTCTCCAGAAGCGGCTCCCCGCCGAGAGGCCGCTACAGGGAACCCTCCCTTCTCTCAGCCGGCACAGGAAGTGACGCCCCGTTCCACTCTGTCGCGACCGCCGTCCTATGACGTTGCGCCGCGGGGCGGACGGTATTTTCATGGGCGGCTACTCTGCCGAGCAGGCTGAGAAAAACGCCGGTCAAGAAAACGGGGGCTGGGGATTTAGCTTAGCGGCATAAGCGCCTGCCTTGTAAGCAGGCAATCGCGAGTTCGATCCCTGGCACCGATAAAAAAAAAAAAAAATTAAAAAAAAATAAATAAATAAAAAGGGGGAGTAAGCCAAGGCCTGCCTCCAAAGGCGCGGTTATCTATGGCATGACAATGGATGGGCCCGGATCCGGTGGTTAGCTGGAACCGAGGCGCGGTTTGTGTTTTTCTGCAGGAATCGGGACGAGAACCACTGTGGGTCCCAGAGAGGTTGACATGTGACAAGTCCCTCGACTGAAGATCAGGCCTGTTCCACCAGAGGCCAACCGCAGACCCAACAACAAGATGAGCCCTAAAAGAACTGCAGGACAATCCCTTTTTGGGGAGCCTGGAATGGCTTGCTCCCCTATGTTTTACCATTGTTAGGTCCCCTGTGCTCCTTGCTTCTGCTCTTACTTGTAGGACCATTCTTGCTCCGATGGGTTACATCATTTATTAATGGGCGCCTTGCGGCGGCCTGGCGTCAAGTACGCCTGGTTGCCCATGTGGCCCTGGCAGCAGCCCGTGATGGGCACAATGACCCCCAGGCTTATGCATGGCTCGCTCGACTGGCCTACGACTGGGTCTAGGTGTGGCGGGTCTTCCGCATTCCTTCCCTATTGACACCACACAGCAGGGTGGGTGAGTCAATGACGGGTAAGAGCGTGCCTCCCCAGCACGACTCGACCTAAGCCAGGCCCTACCCCATGGCGCACGAAAGCCGCTGGATTACTAGAATCTGCCCAGATCTAGATGCCTCTCCGAGGGGATCACACGGAGGGGCATGAGTGCACGCCTATGTGCATCCAGGTTCCGTCCAGTTCACTCCTGGCCCTGGAAAAAGGACGAGGGTCTCAAGGCCTTGGCGGACCCGGGGGCGGCCGACCAGGGTCCAAGCCAAGGGCCTACGGTGGGCCTCAACACAGGGCATAAGCCTCTGCACTCGATCCAGGGCGGGCTGCGATGCATACATTCATTCAAAGTAAATAAATTAGGGGGAGATGTTGGGAGCCGCGGCCGACACCGGTCGCCTTACTTGGCGGACGTAGGGCCTGTGGGTGGGAGCGGAGCCTGAGCTAGATTGCCCCTCCCATCGAGTGAGTCAAGTTGGTGCCTGCTTCCTGCCCCCTGATTGCGCTGGCGACTTAAACAACCCGCTCTGTAAGATAGTCTGCCTAGCAACAGCTGATGTTAGCCAGTCAGCCCGCATCGCGCGCTTTAAACTGATTGGCCACTGTTACCCTATAAAAGTAAATGCCTCTCCCGCCACGAGGGAGAAGCACAGAGAGAAAGCACAGAGAGAGATAGAGAAAGTCCACCGGCGAGAAAGGGCTGGTGGCAGAGTGGAGGCCTCGCGGGGCCCACGCGGAGACAAATAAAGGCAAGGTTGCACACCGCCAGACTTTGTCGTGTGTCTTTCCTGCCGGCCGGGAGCGACACCGACAGGTTTTATATTATGGAATAGTGTATTGGTCTTCTAAAGGAGAAGAGACTGAATTGGGCTCAGTTGCAGTCCATGGTTGGCTGGTACCAAGGGAAAAACATCCATGGCAGAAGGATCTTGCAGAGAAAAACTGCTCACCACGGGGGCTGGGGATTTAGTTCAGCGGCATAAGCACCTGCCTTGCAAACAGGCAGTTGTGAGTTCGATCGCCCGTACTGATAAAAAGGAAAAAGACAAAAAAAAAAAAAAAAAAAAAAAAAAAAAAACCCTGCTCACCCCAGGGCAACCTGGAAGAAGAAAGAAAAGGGGAGAGCCAAGGACACCCTTTGCAGTTCATGTTCTCAGTGACCCATCTCTAAACAGACCCTGGCTCCTGACAGCACACAAACTCACCAATGAATTAATTCACTGATGGGCATAGTGCTGCCGCCATTCAGTCCCTGTCCGAAAGGTCCACCTCTGAACATAGGGCTTTGAGGAATATTCTTGAGCTAAACCATAACAAATAGAAAATAATATAAAAATGCTGCCTCTCCACTGCGAATCTGCAAGCAAGGTGAACAAACTCACCCACCAAAGGTTGCAGGAGAGAAGTCCCTGGGGCAAGGGAAGTAGATGAAGTACTTAGAAATGTGTCTGAACATTTGGAAGATCACCGACAGGCATCTGACAGGTTTCTTGGAGCACTGAAGGGGAAATCACTCTATGCATAGAACACTAAGTGAACTAGAAAGCAAAACAATTATCAACACCAAACAGCAAAAAGTTGCTAGGAAACTATTATATGCTGTTTGGCTAGGCAGAAAACAATATGATTATATTAATATAAACATTAATTACTGATATAATCAGAAATTATGATGTAGATATATTGATTATACAGAGGAAGAAAAGTGGAGGGTGGATATTGGAAAGTAAAAAAATTTGTAACAAAATGAGAAATTAGTAGATAATATGTAATACCCATACATCAAGAAGCAACAACATTAACATTAATTAAAAATAAATAAAATTATGAAAATCTCTTCTTTATGGAAAGCAGGGGTGGAGAGAAGGCAGGAGTAAAGCAGATCATTTGATACTACTTCATTTTTAAAAACTATGCACATTTATTACTTTAGTAAAATGAAAATATTTTAAATATTTAACATATTATATAGTAGCTCTATTTATAACACGGTTAATTGTGTTAACAACTACCCTTCTGCAGACACATGATTAGTGACAAAAGATATAGAAAATTCTCTGGGAATAGGATGATCATTTTAAGCAGAGGAAGGGGTCAAAGTGTGCGTGTGCATGCATGCACATGCACGCGTGTGCGCGCACACACACACACACACACACACACACAGGTCAACTTGAACCTTGACTTTTGTGATGATCAGTCTTATGTATGAACTTGCAAGGGCCAATGGGATGTTCAGATATTTGATCAAATTTTCTTCCTGACATGTTTGAGATGGTGTATCTGGATAACATTATCATTCAAAATAGTAAACTGATTAAAGCAGATTTTCCTCCCTAACACCGGTGGGCCTCATCAAATTATCTGAAGGTCTGAGTAGAACAAAGAGGCCAACTGTCCCATGAGTAAAAGTGCACTTTTCTAGTATTACTGTCTTAAGCTGAGGACTAGATTTTTCTTGCCTTCATACTTAAAGTGAAACATTGGATTTACTTGGGCTCAAGGCTGCAGGCTTCTATACTAGATCTTACACCCTCCTAATTCTATACTAGATCATTGACTCTTCTGGTTTTCAGGCCTTGGCACCCAGACTAAAGCTACATCAGAATTCTCTTTGGCCTCCACACTGCTAGCTGCAAATTTTGAGGCTTCTCAGCCTCTGTAATCAATTGAGATGACTCCTTACAAGAGATCTATGTATTTATCTATGTGCTTTGTATCTATCATAATGTTGGTCTTGTTTCTCTGGAGAACCCTGACTAAAACAATTCTTACATCATATAATATGTAAAAAAGAATTTGAGATACATCATTGAGCTAAATAGAATAATTAAATAAATCAGGTCCCTAGAAGAAAAATATGGGAAAAGTCTTTATCTTTTCATAAGCAAACATTTATTTAAGAAGATCAAAAATGTACTAATTATAAAAGAAAAAAATAATATATTAGACTTTATTAAAACTAAATATCCCTGTATGTTAAAAAGCACCATTAAAGGAATGAAGAGACAAATCACAGACTCAGAAGAGATATTTGGAATACAAATATCAAACAGTAAATTTAAACTGAAAGTACAAAAAGACTTACATAGATCAATTAGAAAAATTCAGATAACCCGGTCAAAACTGAAAAATTTGAATGGGCCTTCACAAAAGAGAATTTTAAAATATCCAGTAAACACAGTAAAAAGTGTTCACTATCATTAAGCATCAGTAAAATAAAAATTAAAGCCCAATAAGACTCTTCTGCACACCTAGTTAAAAAGCTAATATTGAAGATATACATTGCCAGATGTTAAAGCGAATGGAGAAGAGTTAGAATTATTTTAAGCTGCTAATGAAAATTGGTACAATTATTTTTGTGAAATTATTTGGCAATATCTACCAAAACAAAGCATGCATGTATCTTCTGACCAAGAAATTTTAATTATCAGTATATATACATAAATACACACACTCCTACTACCAGCACCAAACAGTGAATGTTCATACCCACAAAATATGCTACTAAATGCTTAAGTCTCTATTCTTTATAAGAGCATTTGTAGAGGTTGATTGATTGTGTCAACTTGAGACATTTAGAAGCTTAACTAAATGGGTTTAGCATCTCTATAGCCAGGGTATAGAAGACCCACCTAGGGTGCGTCATCCCTGGAGTTACACAAGGGAAGGAGGAAGGATGAATGCATTCCATTCTTTGGAGAAGCTCCAGTCTTTGCCTTTGGTTTTGACGTCGTCTCCCGACTTCCTATGTAGACTCCAGCTTTCCAGCATGGACTCTTCAACCTTCCAGCATAGACCTTTTGGCCTTTTGTTGCAGACCCATCAGCCTGCTGGTGCAGACTTGAACAAGACACCAGGGTGAACCCCAGACCTTGGATTGAATTCTTCAGTCCCCAGCATGCAGACACCCTCTGCACACTTCCTATTCCAACACTGTGGCTGACCTTTGTAAGCCAGTCTTGTAATTTCTTATACACTTGCATATCTCATGTCAGATCTGCTTTCTCCAGTAAAATCCTGACTAATATAGCATCCAAATAGAAGAACAACACTATAATGGATAAGTAAGTTTTGGTGCACTTGTGCAATGAAATACAACTCAGCAATAAAAACAAACCACATCTGAGTAGTCAAGATGCATGAACTCATAGACATGAAGGTCCGGAAGAAATAATTTGCGTGAAAGAGTACAGACTGTATGATTCACCTATATGAAGGTTCAGCTCCTTTAATTATTAGGTGTAATTGCGAACCACGATGAATGGTTAGGTTTTAAAAATTTCTTCTTACAGCAAGGGACATATTGACACAAATTTGTTTCAAATATTCTCCCTTACTTCAAACACACTGATATCTTTTTTTTTTTTTTTTTTTTTTAGTACCAGGGATCAGACTTACAACCTTGTGCTTACCAAGCAGGCATTTATGCAGCTGAGCTAACCCCCCAGCCCTGATTCCATTTTTTAAAAGCAATTATGGAAGCCTTTTCATGAGTATATTTAGTCTCACTTTTGTAGCAGCTTCAATGTCCTGAATTAATTGAAAACCTGTATCTTTTGTGTCATTTTGATATTGGAGAAGGACCAGGACTTGCATGGTGCCAGATCCAGTGAATATAGTGGATGAACACATACAATGTATTCTATGTTTTTATGTGACAGCAATTCCCATAAACATTTTTAATCAATTCATGACATTGAGGTAGCCATCAAGATACATTCACTAACTTTTATATGCTGGACACCAACGTCATGTCACTGGCTTTTATATTTGCTTTTCTGTGGTAATCTGACACTGAACAGGCAATATCTCCAGATGTGCCATTAATTTATATCAGACACTGATACATCAAAGCAGGATGTGGTAAATGCTAGGAAAACTATTTGGGTGGAAGTACCAGGAATCAAACTCAAGACCTTGTGCTTGCCAAGCAAATGCTATGCCACTGAGTTATATCCCCAGCCTAGGAAAACTATCTAAAAAGTAATAAAATAATAAATAACAAGTAGGTTAATAACAGAAGAAAGAGAATAATGAAAAGTGTTTGATTAGGTATAGAAAGGAGAGGAAGAACAGCATAGAACAAATAGATCAAGTGACAGACAAAAAGTAAAATAGAGGACTGAACACAATAAAATCACAATTACATCAACTATAAACGGGTAAATTATCCAGGTAACAAAGATCGTCAAATTGGATGTAAGGACAAAAACCAGCTCCACTCACTTAAGACTCACGAGTTTAATCATGAGAATACACAATGCTGGCAGTTAAAGGGGGAGAGAAAACATGTACGCAAGCTCTCAGCAAAAGGGTTAGTATTACCATACTAATACCAGCAGAGTAGCTCTTAAAACAAGAAACAGTGCTTACAGCAGAGAAATGTATTTCCTAATGAAAAGGCGATGAATCCAAGGGAAAGGATCTTAATTCTAAGTATGACAGTGCGAAGAAACTTACAACCCAAACACATAAGAAGCACAACATTGAGGAAATGAAAGTGAGGAACAGAAAACATCAGCAATATGCTTTCTTCATTCAGCGTGATGAATAACTTTTATAAATTTTACAGTTCTGCACTTTACCTCTTGAAATGAAACCATCTTGGACAGTGTATCATCTTTCTTCACCTGTCATTATTTTGAAAGATTTACGTTTTGACTCCATATTCATGAGTAAGATTAGCCTACAGCTTTTTTCTACCTAGTCCTTGTCTGATTTGGATATATCAACTGTGTTAATCATATAAAAGAATTTTTTCTTCTTTTTGTCTTCCGAAAGTGCTAGTGAAAGTTTAGAGTTCTTTGTTGCTTCATTGTTTAGTAGATTTTCTTTGTAAATAATCTGTGCCTGCTATTTTCTTTGTGGGAGGATCTTTACTATCAATGCAGATTATTTAATGAGTATAATATTATTGAACTGTAATATTTTCTATTTTCTCATATTAACAACTTTTCTAGGAATTTGTCCAGTTCAAAAAAAATTCCAATATATTACCATAAATGTAAAAAAAGAAATCATTTCTTTAAGCAACTGCTAAGTTTACAGTTTTATATTTTTCTTTTTCCAAAAATTATTTTATATGTGTTCTCTGTCTCTACTTTTTGCTAGATTTCATCTGTTTTAGCCTTTCAAAACAACTTTTACTAAACTCTTACTTAGAGTTTATTTATCTTTTTTAAGTCTCTCTAGTAAAACTTTTTTTCTTTATTAACTTTTATTCTTTAACACCTCTCTTTTCCAATTCAAATTTTACATATATATTATATGTATATTATATAGATATCTTTAGATACACCTTTATTTGCATTCCAAGAGTTATTTTACATATATTTCTTTTTTTTTTTATTTAAGGAGAACAGAAAAAAAAAAGTGAAAGGGTATAAGTTATACAGATTTACAGAAGAAAAAAATGAACAGTAGGAAATCACTAGTTAATGGATTACACATATATTTCATATTATTTACCATATATATTAATATTACTGATCCCTGTAGTGAGGACGACCTGCTACTTCAATTTATGGAAGAAACAGTGGAAGGACAAGCATACTCATGCAGAAGAGGCGTGTGTGCCAGATACTAAGAGGACATGCCAGGCTTGCTTATAAAAACCTGCTGTTAGATTAACACATTTAGCCCTACAAAAATGAGAATTCCCAGAGACCACATTAATCCATTCAGGAATGCTGAACCTCATGCCTATCACCTCTTAAAGAGCCATCCTTTTTCATGTCATTACACTGGTAATTAAATTTCTACAAGAGTTTTGGTGGGGAGCAACCATAGCAAAATCCATTAAGTCCAGTCTGTTTGTTGTTTGGGTTAAATTTTCTACGTCTTTTGTCAAATTATTCTTATCTGATCTGTCATTTTCTGAGAAAGATGTGTCAATATTTTAGTCACATTGATTTCTCCTTTTTTATAATGCCTATTTTAGTCTTCATGTTGTAAAGCTATCATAAAAATTCATATAAATATAAAAATTAATAGAGGTGATGTGTTTCACAATCAATAATTTAGGTTTCAAGTCTAGTTTTCTAATCCTTATACTGCTGCATCCACTCCCTTTTGGTTGGTTAGTTAAAATCTATTATATTCGTCTTTTTTCTATTACTTTCAAATTTTGTTTCTGAATATTTTAGATATTCTTCCTGTAAATGGTTTACTTTTCCTTAAACCGCAGATTGGAATTATCTGTCCTTCACCCAGAAAGTTTAATTCATTTACATTTATTATAAAAGCTGTTACAAAATTTACTGTATTTCTATCTAATGTTGTAGTATTGCATTTTGCTTATTTGTAATCCTGAAGTTGAAGCTCGGTCCAGCCACAGAAAGACAAGCTCACTACTACTGAACTACATCCCCGGTCCTCTTTGTTCTTTTATTTTGAGACAAGGTCTTGCTACATTGGCTAGGCTGCCCTTGAACTTGTAATCTTCCCATTTTAACCTCCTAAGTGGTACGAGTGTACCACTGCATCCAGCTAATCGTGTGGGGGGTTTTTTGTACCTTGTTTTCTGTTTACTTTTCTATCTTTTCATGGATTTTTAAGTGGAGATGATTTTTCTTATTTTCTATTATTCCATCTTCTGACTAGTCAATCTTTTCCTTCCTCCAAAATAGTACAGTCAACCTAGAATATTTGACATCTGCCACTGATCTATATTGATTTTTCTCAACATATTATTTTTGTACATTTTGTCCTGTACATTTTAGAAATTACATTTGTTTTATATGATGATTGTCTAGTTAAATTTACCCTCATGTATATCGTTCTTATTGCTTGTCATTCTTTCTTATGTCTTGGAACTCTTTTTCTGGATTATGAAGAAGGGCCTTTGGTAGCTCTAAGAATTTTTCTTAAATTCTACATTTTTCTTGTTGTGAAATACATTTCATCTTCATTCTTGTAAGATACCCAGCAATCCTAAACTGAGAGTAAGTTCCTCAAAATTTTAAAGATGTTTAAAGATGTTTTTTCATCTACTTAGCTTCGCTGTTGTTTATTCCCGTTCTAGACTAGTTATTATTATGATGATTCATTACTCTTCTTTTTCTGTCCACTCTAAACTTTTCTTTCCGGGGATTTGTAGGTACAGCCTTACTCAGCTTTTCTCAGTGTGGAAATAGTTGAATTTCATGAATCTGTTGAGTAGTATTTGTGTGTTTATCAGTATCAAAACTTTGCAGCCCCTATAACACTGACAGTTACTCCTTACCCCCAGTTCTCTCAGTGTGTAGATTCTTGAACTCTGAAGAGTCACATGTTGAACTTTTACTTTCTAGTTTCATCTTGTAGTCTTTAATTACACATTGAGATTTTTAAATTTCTATAAACTCTATTATCTTTTTAAAATTGCTTTGACATTTTTTACAGTTTCTAATTCTATAGACAATTTCAAAAGCTTTCCTTTAATCATTATAAACATCTTTTGAGAATTCTGAATTTTATCATTACAGTATTATAGATTTGGCATGTCTGATGAGTTTTTTTTTCCTGTTAACTCTTGTTACTGAGACATGTTTCCTCATGTGATTTGTAATTTTTGGTGGCAAGTATACGGTCCCTAGAGCTTTATCTATTCGAGTATTTTAAGTCTGAATTTAACATAGACCTTCCAAGGGAGATTTAGTTAAATTCTGCTAGGCACATAAGAATTACCACCTGAAACCATCACAAATTTTCATGGGGATTTTCAAATCAGAATAGTAGTGTAAATTTAATTCCAGAATTCATGCAGTGATTTATTTTAGAAATTCTTAAAGAATCTTTCTTCTGTTATTCCCACCATCTAGAGCCAAAGAGCAAATAAAAAGGCATTACATTTTCCCTGTGGTGTGTGTTTTCTCCCAGAACACTTCTCCCAGGCAGGGTTGCTGACTGTATGTAGCTGTCTTTGATCTGACCACCTACCTTGAACACAGGCAGAATTTGTCTCCTGCTCTGCTGTGTGATTTAGGCTGTACACCACAGCACTAAATCTTCTATAGCAAGTTTTTCTCTTGCTATCAAGCGTTCCATATTGCCAAAAAGGAGGAGCCCAGGTTCATCCCTTATTTTCCTTCAAGTCTGTAGTGCACAGGCTAGAAAACAGTTTAATCTTTCTTCTATGGCAGTTGGCTTTTCTTTCCTTTCTGGAGTTTTTCTTTCCCTGGAAATAAAAATACGTCAACAGAGTTATATACAGAAGTCAAACACATCTCATCAACCTTGTGTGACGTAAACCTTTTTGCATCTTTAGACTAAATCCTTTGTTCCCCCTAAAGAGAATCATTCCATTATATCCTTGATAATTGACTCAGTTGTATGTTTCTGATCTCTTTCATGGTGATATCGATGGTACCTATATTTTTTACCATTTCTTCCCATAACTCAAATCTTTTATTGTGAAATTAAGAAGAATGAATATTTGAACATTTGATGTTTGAAAAAGTATTTGGATAGTTGTTGTATGTCCTTCGTGCCTGTCATCCTGGCTCTCAGACTGTCTTCTTACCCTGGGGGGAAAATTCCACCCTCTTAGAGCTTATTGTGTTTGCCTTCTGTATCACTGGCTTGATTGTTGTGTGTGTCACTTCTGCAGTTTAATATCTGCAGTGCCATTTTCACCTACACTATGGTTCTACTTGTTTCTTACAGACTTTTGGTCACTTAGGAACCTCCTGTTTCACTTCAGTCTGTTTGCTCATTTTCATATCTTTTACCTCGTTTTATATGGTTCAGCTTTCTCTGAATTTTACTGAGAGCACATGGTAAATAATGCAGTATATTTTAAGTATGTTATAACTGCCATATTCTCTGCTTAAATAATGCAGTCTTTTCATAGGTACCTTTTTTTGGTCACATTATTCAAGCTAAAACAAGAAAAAGTCTACCAAACTAGGTAAATGCTTCAAACAGCGTGGGCTGCTTCTCCTCCGAGCCCTTCTCCACCACCCACCAACCAGGCTACAGTGAGATATGAACTGGGAGATAGGCTGGCATGAGTTTACAAACCACTTTAGTCACAAGTCATCTGGAGAGGAGTAGAAAAGACACTGTGAGACAATGATAGCAGGAAAATTTCAATGTGCTTCTGTTCCTTTCTGTATGTGCTGAAGCCAAACACCAAGGATTAGCTTTCCAAATGGAATTTTCCCTTTCGGTCTACCTCCACTTCCAATGTGGAGTAATGCCATTGTGTCCCTGCCCTGCAGTTTATGGCCTGGAGAAGAGCTGTCACTAGAGCTTCCTTTCTGTACTGCTGCTGCCATTCTTAGCCCTGAACCTGCAGAACAGCTACTCCCCAGAGGACTGATCCATGATAACTAAAGAATAGGAGCTCGCCTCAGACTCAGGACCAGCCCTCAGTTCTGTTTACACTACTTAAAATCACGAAGTTTAAGTGGACTAGGTCGTGATTTTTCCCTGTGCCCACAGTACCTACTGCTTTCTTGGGAAAGCAGATGTATGCTTCATTTCAGTTATTTTCCCCTTTTTGCCCTCTCTTCTTTCTACTCTACTTAGAAGTAAGTTGTTGCAGCTTCTTCCCTATTCACAGTACACATGTTCTCTAATTCTCACTGTAGTCCTCCAGTCATTCGGGATGCTTTGTGGTCAAAGGATGTTAAACATCTGAGGTCGTCATCTTCACTGACCCAGGTATCTGTTTCAATTAGTACTCTGCAGATTTTTGTGTATCTATTAAATGTTTACAGAGCATCTGTCTCAATCTGTTTTCCATTGCTGTAACAGAACATCTATGACTGGGTAACTCATGAAGAAGTAAATTACTTTAACTCAGAATCTGAGAAGTCTAAAATTGAGTAGCCATACCTAGAGTCTGTGTTGCTTCAACCCAAGACAGAAAACAAGGACAAAAAAATATATGCAAAAAAGACAAACACAATAGATAACTTTGCTTTAAGTCAGCTTGCTTCTACTGTTCTGTGAGAGCAAGAGATCACTAATATGAAAAAGGCATGAATCTATTCATATGGGTTTAATCCCCATAATTTAAACACCTCTCTCTAGGCCTGCCACCCAACATTATCACACTGAAGAATTAGTTTTCAAACACATGAACTGGGGGATAAACACTCAAGATCCCAGGACCCATCACAACTGATATGTCCTACGCTCCAGATACATCAGGGAACAAAGCAGAGGAGGCAGGTAATAATTAATACACAGAACCAAGTTGCAAATTTTATAGGAGATAACCTCATGGAAAACGAAGTGCAGGCTAAAGAGCAACAGATTAGAGGGTATCAGAGAGACCCTCACTGAGAAGACAAGAACTGAGCAAAGGAGAGAAGGTGAACACGTCACCACGTGCATCGCTGAGGGAACACGAAGCAGAGGGCAGAGCTGAGGCAAAAGCTCCACGTTCATAGAACTCTGGGAGGCTGAAGCAAAGGAACTGCAGGTTTCAGGGTAGGCTGGGCAATTTAGCTAGACTCCATTTCAAATTTTTAAAAATTACAAATAAGGCTTGGGATATGGCTGAGTGTAAAGGCCCTGGGTTTGATCCTAAGAAAAAAAACGCAGACGTGAGCCCAAGTTTTCCAGAGCACAGCAGGGAAGCAGGCAAGGGTAGTACAGAAGAGCAGAGCCTGCAAGACAGGTTGGTGGTTGCCTAAAGAGAAATGGTACGTATGGGAAGGCTTTGGAGAAAGGAAAACTTTCACCCAATTTACAATTCAGAGGACCAGTGTGGTGGATTAACTAATGGTCAACAAGTAACATTCAGCTGAACTGAATCAGCGTGGTGCTTGGTGTGGAAAGTCCATCTAAGGGCTGTTGCCAGCTGCGTAAAAGGAGAACTGGAAGAGAAGGCTGTTGATTCTCCTGGAGAAGTTTGATATGGCTGACCTTCACTGGCTTTCCCAATATTTACTTCGCGCTTTTCATCGTTAGAGAATCTTGGGTCCTCGCTGTCACTGAGGATGGCTGCAGTTCTCTTTAGGGGAGCTCTGGTCCTTACCTTTAGAGTCACTTCCTGGGCTCCACTGCAGATCCCTTAGACTGCTGGCACAGATCCTCCATCCCATGGGGGCAGACTTTCTAGCTCCCACCACTGACCTTTGGGCCTTTGCAGTACAAATCCTTGATATAGACTTGCATGAAATATTGTCCTGAGCTCTAGGCCACCAGTTGGATTCTAGGAGGACATTGTCATGGTCTCTAAGTCTTCAGCTGGACTCTGGGTGGACATTGCCATGGAATGCAGACCCTCAATTGGATTCTTTGAGTCTCCTGTGTTTGACTTTTTGGGTGAATATTATAAAATAATATAATAAATTATGTGTCCTCTATTAAATGTTTTCCTTGACTGCAACAATCATTTTGGCTGCTGCCTAGAACACAGAAGTTCTGGGATGCAGAACTCTTGCAACCCAGTCAGTAGCTGCTAAGATCACTGGCTAGATTTTAAACAGTAATTTTCCTACAGCCTGCACACAAGGATCACCTGGTATGAAGCCCACATTTTTAATAGTTGGGGTTGAACAACCCAGGAACTTTTCACTGAGCTACATCCCCAGCCTTTCTAAAAAAATATTTTTGGGATAGGGTCTTAATAAATTGCTTAGTTGCATAGGCCTGGCTTCAACATGTGATTCTCTTTATTCAGCCTCCCAGAGTGATAGAATTACAGGCATGCACCATTGTGCCTACATTTTTAAAACTCAGTGCTAAGGCCACACCCTAGGTAAACTGAATCAGAGCCCTGAATGGGTCCCAGCAGACCATTCAGGTCTCCTCAGCAGACCATTCTCAATAATATGAACTTACTCTGGGTCTCCCCATCTGATCTGTGAGATCCTAGTAGGAGGGAGCATGCTTTTGTTTGGTTGAACCCACGGCACATACTTGGCACATAGTACTGATGAATTAATCCATGAAATTTCAATTTCACCAAAAGGGAAAACAGAATATTGATGGAAACATGTGGTCTTCCCAGCTCACAGATCATTGAGAAAGATTCATCATCTGCAAGATTCTCAAGAAGAGCTTTAAAACAAAAATTTTTATTACTGATTCAAGAAAAAAGAACAGTTTCTTAATACATAGAATCCATCAGTTTCCAAAGGAAGTATTATTAACACTGAAGTGTGTGTGCCTGGGTTGGGATGGTCCTGGGGCCCTGTGACGCATCTCCTGGGAGCTTGGGATTGGGCAGAACAGTGGGCTTGCTTAGTCTCACAAAACAGCAAGCCCCTATGCCTCCAGCCGAACCTGATGGCCACCCTAACTCCTGTGCACAGAGAACGCCCAGTGGCTGCTACCATTTGCCTGCTGGAACTGTCACATTGTGAAATCATAGCTGAGGTCATCCTATTGGGTTTATCCCAAGGTCAGGCTCATTGCCCAGGAATGTAGTTCCTCAGAGGGAAACCACAGGGCCCCTTGTTTATTCTCACCAGCTCCAGGTGGTGGCACCAAGGCTGCTGAGTAAATGTCAGGCAGCCAGGTGTCAGAGGCAAGTGGAGCCAGCTGCCTGTCCTGGAAGCTGGCTGAGTTCCAGTTCTCACCTGGTTGTCCCTGGACCTGGAACAACCACATGTTCAGAATGCAGAGAGGAGCTGTGAGCTCACTACCTAGCTGGAAAGCCCAGCTAGCTGGGCCAGAAGCTCCCATCTCAGAATGCCCAACCCACCTCCAGACCACAGGAGGGGGCTGACCTTGACCTGCCTAACTTGGTGCACTGGCACTGGCCCCATGTGGCTGCTGAGCACTTAAGATGTCATTATGGCAGCTGAGAAACTAGACTTTTCATTTAATTTAACTTAGAGTTAAACAAAACTGATACTTGACTCAGTTCTTGCAAAACTTTTAAGTATATTTAGATATATCTGGAGCAACTTAGATACTTGGATCTACTTTTTCTATGGGAATTTTGTGAAATACGAGTACAAATCTAGAAAAAGAAAGTAGTATCCAAACCAAAATGGGCTGGATGTGAGGGGTTTACAAAAAAATGGAATATAACTATCCTAAACTGTTTCATGTTGCTGAAGAAAAAGCCAAAGCTGGGTGACATTTAAAGAAGTGGTTTTTTAGCTCACCGTTTGCAGGATGAAAGTCCAAGATCAAGTAGCTATGTTTGGTGGCCTCTGCTGAGGACTGTGTGACTACATCACAACGTGACAAATGACATTACAGTAGGAG